CGTACAGTCCTCCCACCTGCACAAGCAATCGCCGTGTATCCGAAGAGAGACCGAAGTAACAGCAGACAGAATCGCTCTTGATCACCAACAATTCCACATTCTCATCCCCCAAATCGTGGCACTTGCACGCGGAATCGATCAATTTGGAGAGCAATTTGCCGCCCGGGCCTCCGCTCGGGTCCGCTTCGCCGTGCAAATATCCATGGGCAATCAGCTTCTGCACTGCATCAAGAGCAGGTTCGGTAACTTTAGCGTAGTTAGAGTAGAGCGCATTGATTAGGGGGCTGAGAACGATTTCGGAGTCTGCCAGTGAGAGATCCAGGAGAACGCCGGGGTGTGACGACGTGTCGGAATCGGATTGGCCGGAGGGGGACGCAGGGGGTGAGGATACGGGGGTAGGGTTTTGGTTGGGTGAGGTGAGGTGTTCGATAACGGATTTGCACTCGGCGGCGAGTTTGGAGTGCTTGCGCCACGTCGCATTTTTGACGATCTTGTCGAAGGCGGGGGTGAGGACTCGGATTAAGCGGGAATCGGCTTCGGAAGAAGCCATTCCCGGAGTATGGAGATTTGGATATGGAGTTTCCGGTACGGTGGCGGAGTGGTGGATCTAGAGAAGCGAGAAGCTGGGGGAGTGCTGCAGCATCTAGATCGCGGAGTTGGACGAAGGAATAATGACGGAATTGGCCCTCGGGGTTTGATTGTTTGAGAAGACAAATAAATGATTATTGTGCAGTAAATATTACTACATGAAAGATTTTTGACTCTAAAGAGTTTTTAGTAGTGTTTCTCTTCTTTCAAGGTGATATCTTAATTTAATTATTCGAAATTATGGATATTTTTTTATTTAATTTATTTAATGTGCGAGTAATGAAGGTGTGGTCAAAATGGAGAGCATGATTTTTTTGATTATTTTGATTGCACAGTAGTTGACTATTCAATTGATGACAATACATGATCAAGAATCCATGATGATAGTGGCACTGCTATGCGGCCGGTTTTGCAATCTCCATCCTCGTCTACTCTCAAAGTCTCTATTTATGTTCTCTTAAAAATTCTACGTCGAATATTCCCATTCTCGACCCATTAAACAATATACGGGTATCCACCCCGACAAATCCATGAAAATTAAATGTACATATATATGTTTTTCAAATTATTTATGTGAAAACGAGCTAAAAAAAATAAAAAAAAAATTAAGTTTCATGGAAAGGAGCTAAAATTATGGAAATAAGATTAAATGAAAAATTAATTTAAAATAATGCTCCAACTAAATATATGTACATATTAAAATACAATGACGGGCCAGGGCTGCGGGACGGGGATACGGGACAGATATAGCAAAATTCATTCCTGGCACCCCCTCCCCGTTTCGTTAGTCCCCATACGGCATACTCGTCCCATATGTTTTCGCGGCCGGTATTTTCCGCTAGGAGCGCGTTCATCCCTTTCAAGCTTCTGTCTTATTGGTTCCTATAAAATAAAATCGAATTGATGAGAATATATAATTTTTTTTCTTTAATTATTTAGAAAGACTAAATAATTTCTAGAAAAGCTATTAGAAGAAAGGAGAAAAAAAAAAGGAGAGAAGTGGGCCAGTAATATTCTACGTGCTCTAAACTAGTTTAGTGGGCTGGATATGGACCGTCACTAA